AGTTAAATTCCGGAAACGAGACACACGTCGCTCCGCTGCCAAAAAGGGACAGTCGACACACAGCGCACGCGTGCAAGATTGCACCACGTATGCACGCATTAGGAATAGCTTGCAGATCAGAGTGCCGCGTGAACAGTGTTGTCATTTTGCTCAATGCAGCGGAGGTTTCCTGGCAAAGGCCGTGTAGGCCAGCTAAATCGTGCCATGAGGTTTCTAGCAGTCGTCCGCCCCCTCGAATGAGCCGGGCCCGCCTGTTTGATTCTCACTTGCGGACACGAGTTCGGATCCTCCCTTTCCGCTTGCTCCTTTTTATCACAGTTAGAATCAATGACTAACTTATGCCATTCTAATCCAGTTCATCGCAGTCTCGGGAAGACTGGTGCCGGGAAGCAGACTGCGCAGATCTCGTCTGCGTGCTAGAGTCGTTCCCAAGCCACGCAACGCCTTCCCTCAAGCTAGAAGCCCCCACTTGCCTACAGTCTGCTTAATGCTACGCATCATTGCGGTGGGCGTAACGCCCGGGGCATTTCTCCCCCTCTAAGCTTACGAGGGTGGCTCGACCTGACCCGTTGGTCAGAAGCGCATGGCGCGGTCTGCACAGACCACAGACGCACAGCCGATCGCACGCGGCTTCGGTATGCACAGATGATCCATCTGTCCGCGGCTGGCAACGGCCCATCGGCTCCGGCCTGGCTACAGGCCGCATCTCGCAGCAGAGCTCTGCTCAAGATCGGTAGCTGAGTTACCATAACTCCGTTCACAGTTCATTCATGAGCGTGGCTTCGAGTTGAGGGTTTACCAGCCCGAGTGCCGTCTCTGCCCTGCCTTCACAGCTCTACGCCCTTTTTGCTCAAGGCTCGTTTCTCCTATGACCGACTCTCCTAAGAAGGCCCGCGTGGACAACACCGACGAGACCACTCCCCCTCTAGCCGAGAAGACCAAGTCAACCTTAGCTAAGAAGATCGTGCAACCCCACGAGCTCGGCAACCCCGACCAGCAGTCGGATGATGAGGAAGCTCTAAGTGAGGTGGCTTCAAGCGTTGACAAGGCCGATGCTTGTACGCTTGCTCTGGATAGCATCTTGCAAAAGCTTCCTGATAACGTGTCCGAGTACATCCGTGACAACCTCCCATCTGGGGCTCAGGCTGATGTCGCCTCTCTCTTGGTGTCCAAGAACCTCGTCACCAAAAGCATGATCGGACTCCTCGACGACACCAGCTGCAAAGAGCTCGCTCATCTGTTGTCCGACAGAACCAACTTGATTTTCTTGAAGGCCGTCGGCCGCAACTGCGGTGCGCTTCACTCTCTCAAAAGAAAGGCGGATGACACTCGATCCGAGAGTGGTTTGGGGCCAGATTCTGTGGCAAAGCTGCAGTCGAAGTTCAAGGCAAAATACGGCATGGCTATACCAGGTCGCTTCACCGTCGATGGCCAAGTGCTGAGCAAGATCAAGAAGAATGAATTGGTGCGTTTGGCGGAGTGCGACGAGCCCGGACCACTCTCCAAGAAGAAGAGACTCGTCATCGATCCCCTTGGCAAGTCCGTCAATCTAGAAGATATAGGTCTCCCACGAGCTCCCTATCAATGCGAAGCTGCCCACGTGGGTGCCTGTATCACCCGCTTTTGTCTGTCTGCGGCCATGCTCGGGAAAATGACTCCCACAGAGGGCCTCATATACATGGCGAGGCTTTTCGAGGTGGGCGAGAAAACTTCAGTTCACACTATACGGTCTGCCGACTTGGGTATGAGGTTGGAAGCTGTCCGTGGTGGATACGATGACGCTTCGTCTTTGGGCCAGAGACTAGCTTCCGGCCAAGCCGATATTTTGGCCGCTTGCCGAGCCGAAGGCCGCAGTGTTTCTTTCGCAAGCTCGGCCAGCTCTACTAATCGGCCTCGGAGCCATCAACGTGGAGACGAACCATGCAGGCTGTACATGCGCGGGAAGTGCCACTATGGTTCCAACTGCAAATACAGGCATGATAGAAGTCGCGGGCGTCAAGGTGAGAGATCATCCAACTCTAAGCGCATTACTAAGGAGGAATGAGCGAATTGAACCGCTCGTAGTGGTTCAGCGCATGGGTCTCAGGCCCCGAACATGCCGCTTAAGCTTGTGTCTGCTGCCCTATATAGGCAAGCTGTTTCTTTATCTCGTCGTACTTATGTTGAGCTTTGCATAGTTCATCGCCGAGCAAGCACGCCTAAAGTCACTCGCAGTGATATGCTTGTCAGGAACCGAGGCGGCGCAACAATGCGATACGCCCTCCCGACACTCGAACTCATATAGCACGATGTCCACAACAAGGTCCCTTACGAGCGATCAGGCATGCAGCACAAGCCAAAAACAGGACAAGGCGTCACACCAACGTAATGTTCGTGGCTCATATCGGTGTCGAGTATCAAGCCCGCAGGTAAAATCTGGCCCCAAGCCGGCCACGCTACACCGGGGCTAAAATCGTCAACGAGCACCTCTGAAAGATCGGCCGCTCCAGGCCCTCCCCTCGAGACATACATCGAAAAGCACCTAGAGGAGACTGGACGATGCTTCACCGAAGAAGCTCAAGGAGAAACTGAGGGCTTCAGGAATGGAGGGGCATGCACCCTTCCGGGACAATATCCCCCACTAGCCGAGCCCCAGAAAAATTCGCCAAGAGCTTGGCAGAACTATTGATTCAGCAGGGCATGAAGTGCGGCATCGACGAGCTCCTCCGAAGCATCACTGGGAAGCCCAGTCCCGAACAG